AGGTAGTTTAACTACAATTACAATTACAACAACGTGAAAAGTAATTAATTACAATTACAAATTACTACTACGTGAAAAGTAATTAATTACAATTACAAATTACTTTTTAAAAGTAATGAATTTACTTTACAATTATTTATTTCTGAGAGCGACCCGACTTGGGCCATATAACTTTAAACGAGTTGTATAGAATGCAACGTGTTTGTTCATTCCTTGCCCCAATGTTTGAGGAGGTTTAAGCATCGCTGCATAAATGCCACGTATTGTATACTTTTATGAATTTCGTTAAGTTCATGATGGAACTTGACAGTTTGGGGCAATGAAGTACTACGTTTTTATATTTTTAATAAATAATAATAAATTAGTTCAAATGCTGGAAGACGCCAGATCGCTAAAGAAAAAATTGTGTTGACAGACTTTTTTTAGCCAGGCAAATAAAAATGCGACAATTAGTCATATAGCCTATATGACCAATTGTCGCATTTTTATTTGCCTGGCTAACAAAAGTCTGTCAACACAATTTTTTGTTTAGCGATCTGGCGTCTTCCAGCATTTGAACTAATTTATTATTATTGATATAGGAATATTTTGGCAAGTGTTAATATAAAATTCAAATTCGCACGCGCTAATACGACCGCATTCCCATACAAACGTCATTGTATTGTAAATTTATTACATTGAGTTGAAATTACTATGGCTCAGAAATATATAAGAACCGAATCGGGACTCCCGAATCATTGGCACCAATATTCACAGGTGCGAGGTCAGTCTGCGAAATGTTTATGCAAATAATATCCAAAGTAAAACAAACGGAAAATAAACTTGAAAATAATACAAATATTGAAATGTGCGACAGTGTTGTGGAAGCTACGTGCTCGTGCTCCCTGGGCCAGCCACATGCTCGTCACCCAACGGGTACTTTGAACGGCTCGGTCGTAACGCGCTGACGCTATTTACACCACCACAACGCTGACAACGCCACCTAGGGCAAAGCTCATAACCACGCCTGCCTTGCTACTCCACGAACGCGGGAAATCTTTTCTTTCTGTTTTTGTATGGTGCCTGGAACGCGTCTCCGACTGGTGTGTTTACGGCGCCCAAAAAAGTGGTCCCTTTAGTTTCCGCCTGATGACGTCATAGAAGTGTCATGCTGTCGCCGGTCGCGACCCTGGTGGTGTCTCAGCAGCTGTGGTGGATGTGGCAGACGCCTGTTCTGCTGCAGGTCGCTCCCCACTGTGACAGTCCACGGAAGCTACAGCAGTCGAAAGTTGGGACGCCTGGGACGTCGTGACGACAGCGACACTCCCGTTCGCTGGCGCTTTTCACCAGCATTTCTACGGCCAACCGTCAGGATCGCGACGTGGAACAGCATGACATAGGGAGGCTCAAGTGAGGGTGGGTGCAACTGCTAGATCGGCGATCACGGGACATGGACGCCATTTAATTGCTAAATTTTGCTGGGAGTCTATGGGGCAAAGGGTCGTTTTGTTTCCTAACTCGGGTCATAAAAGCCCATTAAGGTGCTTGAATAATTTACACAAGGTATAAATGATTACTTTTCCTTAGCCACCAGTTTTGTTGCGATAGGTTAAGTATTTTTTTAACGCGAAAAATGGTAAATTCCGCCATCTTGGACGTTGCTGCTTGTCTGGCAACTTTGCTTTCTCCGCTCGACGTTTGCAATTCTCGGAGCGAGAAGGAAGCGAGAGAGGCTGCGCCAAGGCGCTCGTTGCTTGCAATGGGAGGCGAGAGGAGGAAAGGCGCATGGAGCAACAGAGTTGCAACAGAGCGGGCGCCTGCTCTCGTGCAGGCAACACTGGCGCATATCCTTTCTCGAATCCTCTCCCTCAGGCGCCTCCATTAAATTGCAAACGCTCTCCAGGTTTTGAGTTGCGCCCACCCTCACTACAGCCTCTTTAGCATGACACTCCGGCTTCTGTGACGTCATTTGTTGCCACTTGGGGACCACTTTTGATGTATGGGCAGCATAGGACGCTAAACACACCAGTCGGAGACGCGTTCCAGGCACCATAGTTTTTGTTTGCGCCGGCTATCCCACGACAGATTGCGCTCTCCGTTCGCTTCTCTTCTAGCACTTGCTCGAGTGCACCGTTCAAAATACAAACGTGCGATTATGATTTACGGTTATTATCCGTCATGCTTAACTCATTTCCGTACGAAATTTAAATATTTCAACTCTTGTTTCCGTACCCCTTTAAGGGGGCCCTGCAACAACTATTTGACTGGTTTTTAATTTGCACCGAACCTGAGCGCACTGAACGTAGTAACTTAAACAAACTTTTCTTTTCTCAAATTTCGCTTTATTTTAAAAGTTAGACAAATTAGAATTACAAAAACAAGCAAAACATAACCTCCTTCATGACGTCACAGGTCCTGGCTTGAGTGGCCGTGAACTAAAGGAGTAGTGAGCTCATCGAGCGCTCACGGCTGCCGCACTCCGTGTCGACGGCTCGAGAGGGCGCCACTAAAGCACGTGTTGGATAGGCTGTATGAAGTAGGCGGCCAGGGCAGCTCGCATTGCATTTGCTGCGCGATTAAAGACTAATTTGGCATAACACTTCATTGGCCACAAATGACAGCAAACACCATGTAAAGATCAGTTCAGAACGGTAGCCACTTCGCGCTGCCATACCGCCAAATGGCCAAATCGCCAGCCAAGCCCGCGCTGAAAGCCTTCGGAACGCTCGGAACCGGTCGGATCCCCAAGCCGGTATACGACCGCAGCGCTGCCGCGTACATCCGGGACCTTTCTACGCTCGCTGTTCGTCAAAGCCGCATCCCACTAGACTTTTCTAGTATGCGCCGTTTTTTCCGCCGCTTGGTGGCGGGTTTGTCGACGAGTCTTTTCTTGTTTTCGTACTTTATAAACTGCATTTGTTTCTTTTCTGATCTAAGTTACCGAACAAAAACTACTTTTATACATAATTGAAACGATTTGCGACACTTATATTTTGTATTTCAACTAAAAAAAGCTTTTAGCGACTCCGACCAGTAGTAAGCCCAGAACTAAAGTCGTCACGTATTGCGCGCTTTCGGCATTGCGGGTCGCCCTCGTCGGTGGAGGAGGTTTCCGCGCCGTCCGGTTCAAATATGACGCACTGATATTTAGTTACTCTCTCCGTGCCCGCTGGCTTGCCCGAACCCCAAGAGACGTGGAAACCCCAAAAAAGAGAGACGCTCCGACTGCGTTTTCTGGTCTAAACATATCGTTCGGCACCATCATTCGCTGAGCTGCCTCCGTAAGTTGCGGTGATTGGCCCTCCGAGTGTTATGCGTGAAAGTAGATGCACATTGTTTTTTTTTTTTAGTGACACAAATTTTTAACATTGTGTTCTTTTTCGACCTACGGCAACTTTTTTGCATTGACACAGCGATATGAAAATAATTACATTATCTTATATTTAAAATTTTGGTGAGCAATTTTTTTTTACAATATTTTGCCAGCAAGGGGAGAGGCACAACAGAGCATGCGCGTCAATTCTACTGTAAAACCGACGGTCGCTTCCCGCAATGCTCGGATAGAAAATGGCGCACCCATGTGATTCACACGATTACCCACAACTTCCGTGCTTCCACGTGCCCTGTTGTTCAGCAGCACCATGAGTTGCAGAGTGAACTTATGACAGTATCAAATGTGGGACATTTTGAAGATTTGGAAATTTCTTGTGGGACGCGGGACACGAGCCCTCAATGCGGGACAGTCCCGCGAGTTGCGGGACAGGTGGTCACCCTAGGTCCGCTGCTTCGACGAGGTTGTCGCCAGCGTGCACAGGCCTCAGAGTGTTTTGTCAGACAGTTGCAGTAGGTTGTTTAAACTGTTCGTCCACATAATATGGTCACAAGTTGGAAAACAATTGCTGCGCCATTGCACATTGCCCGTACGGCTGTCTCCGATGCCTCCACCGAGCTTCGGTACCGACAACACTTGCCAACATTAAAATGGCGACGCTCTCAGTGTTGTCAGACCACAGTGCAATTTCGCATAAGGTCTATTGTCATAGGGATCAGTCCCCCGGTTGTAACAGACTCCAGGAGACACCGGTTGCAGCCAGGGGCGGATCCAAGAGGGGGGGGGGGGGGGCGCCCACCCCCAAACAAAGCCGACCCCCCTCCCTCCTCGGAGAACAATTTGACATGGGTGGATCCCCCCGGTGCACAAGAAAGAATGGGAGAATAGTATCCTTACAAATTTTCCGCCCCTCCCTCCCTCTTCCTTCCCCCCAAAACAGAGTTCTGGATCCGTCCCTGGTTGCAGCCAGAGCTCTGGTTGCAGCATCCACTGCGGTATATCTCAGAATGAAAGTGATGGAAGTGTTCACGTGTCTCAGGGCCATCTAGGCTCATCTCAATGCAATCTTTTGGTTGAAGCAATCGAGCTCTCAACGCTGCAGTATCCACGCGGCACGAAAAACACAGCAGTGGTTGAGCTTTTTCGTTTTAGAGATGAATTGATTCATAATGAGACAATTATTTAAATTATGCCTTTATTTAAATACAAGAAAAAAAAACGACTAGCTTCATTTATTTTACATTAGCCAATACCTTCAAACCAGTGCAGATGGATTTGGAGACATTTTATGCATACCTGTTCTATTGAAATAATTTGTCAACAAAGTTGAGACCAACAAAAATTAAAACGACTGCAGCTGAACTCGAAGCAAATTTCTTGACATTAAGAGGATGTCAAATACATTAGAGAGTCAGCGGGTCTCATCTGAGGCGACATGTGGATGACCAAACGTTTGAAAGCCTCGAGCGAGCTTCGTTATTCTGTGCACACAAAGATGTGTGCAAGATATAAAGTGTTCATAATATTTTGTACCCAAGTGATCTGGACAGATATTAAAGACATTCCAAATAGTCAAGATTTTTCCCAATTTGAATGTTTCGAGGAATCGAGATACCTAATGGCCGACTAAAACGGAGGAAAAAATCAAAAACCAACGAAAACAATCGAACAAAGGAAAGAACACAGCAACTATAAAAACAAGGCAAGTAGAAAACTGCCTAAAATTTTACTCCCAATACTAGTGATGTTACATGAGGTATCGCTGCGAATCATCACCGAAGCATCAATTACCGCAACACTAAATCCACAGAAACGCTGTTGATATTAGACTAGAAAACATCTATTTACAAGTTTTTTTTTTTTTTTCCAACACTTTTTTTACCTTCCAGTCCTCGAAAAGAACAGTGATTAGCAGAATCCTAAGGCCTCTTTTCTATAAAGAATTCGCTTTGTTTATAGATACATCTAGACAAGTAAATATACATTATATATATATTCATAATTGTAATCTTGCATGTTTTTTTTTTCTTAAATTACCCCTAACAATTCTTTGGCTTCCACGCATGGTGCGGTCCACTTTTGCTTTGCGGCAGATCGCACATGCTCATGCATACAGGTAGAAGTGTTTTCAGGTTCAAAGCGTGACAATTACCCTAAACTCTTGTTTGTTTTACTCTTTACAGGCTTTTGTTTTGAACATTTCTTTTCCAGCAAGCATGGAATGTCAGCAAAATTCGCACGACCACACAACTTGAGATCAAGCTCGCAGAGAGAAAATTTGCAGTTGCCTCGCCGCAGGTGGTAGCACGCACCACCCGACGACACACACACACGCACCGAGAACATACAGAACGACGAAAGCTTTTGTGCCACCAAAAAACGCTGAGTTCACTTGCATTTGGATCGGCATTGGAATGTCTACGCCAAGACTCCCGCTCCCCAACAAACTAACCGGGTTTTTATACACTTCCACGTCCCGTTAGTAGAAGTTGTCGTGACCGATTCATTTTTTTTCGTTCGTGTGACTAATTGACTTGACTAGCGGCCTGCCAGAAGAAAACGTGCTGTATAACATTCAAAAAGGAGGACAGCAGTAGAAGGATGTGCCGACTCCGGAAAGCCTGTTTGGGTTCTGCATAAAGCTGTTGACAAGCATGACTGCCACAATGAGTCGTCGCGGCTACTATGTTTCCAAAAGGCAGTGAGACTGGACCTTTGCATGCCTGTTATACCTAGGAGTATGTCTAACACGCACAAGTATGTACACTTCACGCTAAAAGTGACTAAGGAAAACCGTCCTCTCTCTCTCTTTCCAAACTGCGAGTATTAGGGAACCTATATTGTATTTTTCTTTGTTGTGGGCCTATAGGAACAACCGTCTTCAAAATGCCTTTTGCACGGGTATCTGGGGAAAACTATGCAACGACAAGAACAGGCTGTGAGGCCGCACCTTGCAGCATGCGCTTACTTCACTTTTGATTTTGGGCGTGTTCTACGAGAATCTAGGGGGAAAAAAACAAAAAAACTTACGAAAGGGGAGGCCAAAGGGCAAGGAGAGCATGGGATAAAGTGTGATAGAAAAACTCGCAACACACAAAACACTTAAAAGAAAAAAACAACACGGGAACAAGCAACAACTTTCATAAGTTACTAAGTTAAATAAGTTAAGTACAAGTTGGGCTGGTGGCAAACTGAGGAGGAACAAGGGGACAGGGGGCCTCGCATACTATTTACAAAAAAAAAACTCCTGGCGTAAAAACAAGCGGGACCGTGCACTGTCGCTGTCATCGCAGGCAAAGGGAGATGAACTGCGACGTCCAATACGCACGCAGATGCGCTCGCAAACCGATAGTCGTCTCCACATCTTGCCAAGGTAGTAAGAAGCACATGGCAGTGGCTGTCAGTAAGGAAAGAAGGTGGATCTACAGAACGGGCATCGAGACTGGCTGAAGGCCGCCTCGGCAACCGCAGGTCACGCATGTAACATGTCTGCACACCTTTTCAGAGACACTCCGCCCACACAGTTCGCAGAAAAACAACAAACGAGACTATGTACATCCTTAAAGTGAGTCGACCCATGTGCGGTGCACTGTCACGTCACTAAGCTTCCTCTTGGTGGGGATAACCGGGCTGCAGACGTCGCCCGTCGTTGCCGCTGTCATCATCATCCTGGCTTCATCTCTTGAGCGTATCTTCGGTGCACACAAGCGACGACGACCGGGCTCGAGAACTGTTCACTCACACAGAAGGCAGGAGATGGCATTTGGAGCTAAGGATAACTCAGCCAGGCCGAAGCTGTCATGCACAGGAAAGAAGCTGTAGGGCAGTGCAGAAGGAGGACAATCAAAGTCCCTAATTCCCCCATGTCCCCCAGTGACCTAAACCTCAGTGTCCACCAGGACCAGTCCTGGACATCCTCTGCAAGACACGCGTCCTCCTGTAGACCCTTGCAGTTGTAGATGGAGCCTTGTGTCCATAAAGAAGGCGATGGCGTCGCGCTATGCGGGATGCCGTCGTCGTTGTCGCCGCTGCTGTGGTTGCTGTCGTTCTTCGAGCGATCTCCGATTCGGAGATGTGTCCGAGCGACTTCCAGGATGCATCCCCTGCGGCACGTTTTCGCGTGCCCTGTTCGGAGATGGACTCCCGGTTGTGAAGAGTGCCTTGTGCTGCCACAAGGCTAGCATTGCCAAGGCAATTTGTAGAGTACATGCAGCAGAGCTGCCCGTCCTGAATGGGGCGAGAAGAGAGAAATGAGAAGAGGATGAGCATTTAGCAAGACTGCAACGGGGTAACTTCGTGTGTCGTGGCAAGGACAAGACAGTGCAGGCATGCCTTTGTAATCTTCTGTACCAGACTATCCCCAGGGAATGCACACCATAAAATACAGAGCATGTGTAACCACTTTTATAATGCTTGAAAAACGAGCAAAGAACACATGAGGTTCCCACCCCAGGTTTCTGAATTGAGGAGCTCCACCCTCAGGCTTACAGGGCACGGGCTCATTGACTTTGAAGCATATGCTTAAAAGTACACGGAGTGTAGCTAACCCAGAAGGTCCTCCTGTCTGCTGCTTCTCCGAGCACGCCCATACGAAGTAATGAAGCTTTACGTACGTGTGCCGGTGCTAAGTGGTGAAGCCCACACTACTTTGTGCCCCTTCTGCACTTCTACAGAACTTAACGAGTGTCCTTTTTCAAGATTATCTAAAGCTTTTGGGCAGGCACTTGCCCGGTATTTTACATAGCTCTGCGACTATCAAACATAAAATTTGAAACAAAGTACAAAAGCATGTGTTTTTTGAGGGGATAATTACAGACACTTGATTTTTGTACACTAGCTGCATAAAATGGTCCAGATCTTATCTTTGAGACAATGATAAGACAACAGAAACGTGTTGGCACATAACCCGTGCCAGCACAGCTAAGTTGGGTTACATGGCAATATTATGGGCTTACAATAAAAGAAATTTGCTTCCAATCCAGGAATTTATTATGTGCATTTCTCTACCATATCACATGCATGCTTCTCATAGTCCAATATAGAAAGCTGAGTGCAATAATATATGACTGCTTTGTTTGAAATTATAAATTAGTTATTCTTCGATGAACTGTAACAGAGGGTCAAAGGTAATAGGCCACCTCAAGAAACATAAAAAGGATAAGCAAACAAGGCAAGGGACGACACAAGGATCTGTTTGAAAAAGTTGTCCGTGGTTCCATGCGGTGTTTATTTTTGCTTTTGCTACGTAACCTGACTGCCAATGACACTTCAGTTAACTTAGAAACTCTCTACCACAGAAAGCAGAAATCAGACACCACCTCTTGCAACTCTCCATATAGTTCCGAAGGAACTATGTCCATTAGGTAGTGTTTTAAGATGACCCACTTATTCATAACAGGAAATGCAAACATGAAAATCGGGGACAACAGCCAACGAGGACAGATAATAGCACTGTCATACCTGCCAAGTTCGGAGAAACTAAACCCGGGAGAATTTGTAAGCGGAAAGGGGGGGGGGGGGGGGGTAGGTGTGATTTTGAAAAAGAAATATTGACAATGAATGTACATGAAGACAACACTGCTTAGGCTAGCAAGAAACGGCTGGGCCTCGCTATCATTGCTGCAAATTGTTGTGACGGCAAAAGCTATTTAAAGGAGGGAAGAGGGGGCGGGGGAGGGGTTATTTGTGTGTTCAGGCTGATTTTTTGTCAATAGATCATTTGCTAAATCCCCCCAAGCGTCCCAAGCCCACACTCGAGGAATCATGGGAACGGTATTTCTTCAGCTTCCTAGTGATCTGTAATTTTGATCAATTACATGGTTACACAGTTTTGAGTGTAATTCGGAGTTACCCTGAACAAGCGTCCTATAAAGCCCAAAGTCCTGTCATATATGTCACTTAAAATTTCTTGTCAATGTCAGAGTTTTCGATACTGCGCATGCTGTCCACCCTTCAACCCAGCTGAACTGCAGAAATCTTTTACATTATTATCATTCTCGTACAGCTTCAAAGATAACGATACTAAGTTAGAAACACTAAAAGTGCTATAAACAGACCCGCTGACTCCGAGCTAAATCCTGGTTTACGTTGTTGTGAATTCGCGGCTTTTTAAGCAATTCCTGCTAAAACAAGAATAACGAGAATGATAATATTGTAAGAGATTTCTGCAGCTCGGCCAGGTTGAAAGGTGGATCGCATGCACAGTGTCAGAAACGCTTACATTGACGAGCAATATTAAAAATGATACGACAGGTCCTTGGGCTCTATACGACGTTTGTTCAGGGTGACTACGAATTACGCTCAAAACTGTGTAACCATGAAATTGGTCGCAATTACTGATCATTAGGGAGCTGAAAGAACACAGTTCCCATAATTCCTTGGGTGCGGGCTGGGGGTGCTTGGGGGATTTAGCAAATGATCTATTGTTCAACCGTACAAATTGGTCGAAATTCGGGAGTTTCCCGGGTAATCGGGGAGACTTGGCAGGTACGCACTTTGCACTGCAGGAGCGTGCTCTCACTACTGGATTCCCACGCAGGTATGCAGTGAAACTTTCTCGCCATGTCTTGACTAACGAGAACTACTATAATGAAAGTGTAATAAAATTCAGGTTTCTTTCCACTGTAAGCCCAAGTACGCCACGACAGTTTCTACCGTTGCAGTGTCAAGAACGACCTGCAACCTGAAGAATGAAAAAACCAGATGCATACGATGGCTCAATTACCTCAATGCTGTGCAGATTGCAACGAAAAAAAACCAGATGCATACGATGGCTCGCTTGATTGAAAAGACACAAGCGAGGATCTTATGTATATACATTCCAAAAGAAAGGGCTGCCAGGCAAACTCGCAAGCACTTGGAGATTCCACTCTCTTGGTGCTATTGAGCTCCAGCAGAGTGTTAGCACTGGCAATGCTTTGTTTCATCTGCTAGCCTTGGAAAAGCTTGAGCAATTGGGCCGATTCCTTAAGCTTTGCTGTGTATCGGCCGAAGCTGGAACAAAAGCTACCTATCTTCGACAACTTTTTGGGCGTCTCATACGCACAGCCGAAGCATGACAGAAGGCAACGAGTTTGTACAGGAGGACAGACATCCGAGAGCGAGACCCCCGACGTTTTTGCCCCGTCAGTAACTTTATAGTAAAGTCGCCTACCGATCTTTCGGACTCTGAGGGGACCCCGAAATCGTCAAAATAATCAAGCGGTCCGAAAAGTCAATTTCAGCCAAAATATCAAATTTCTGTGCATATTCCGCTGCGTATTGGCCACTTTCCACTTGCTTGATGTCATTTTTAAGTTCCCATGCAACTTCTGCTTTATATTGTTCACTTTTCATTTGTTTGTTGATCTGTTTGATCACGATGCTGCGCTTTGTCGGCGACTTTGTTAACACAAACAGCGAAGTTGAAGTTGGCACCATTTGGCACTATTTGTAGACAGTTAGTCCACCAAGCTCACTTCAATGCTAAGCCTATCGGCAAAAAATTTTCGCGCTTAAAGAGATGCTGAAACGAAATTCGAATTTCAGAAAATAAGCTTGCAGTAGTATTCAAAAGGGCGCCATAAACCTAGAAACATCACTCGTACAGCTATATCTCGAGCGGATGACAGTATTTTCTGGAAAATAAAGGAGCGAATGAGGAAGAATGTTGACGTCAGCTTATCGCAGAAAAGTTGAGAAGGAGGAGAAATGGCCTTGCTCCCTTTCTTTCCTCTCCGCGCCCTCGCGGAGTCAAACGAGAATCGCGAGGTCACGCGCCTTTTGGCCTTGTGCGAGTGCGCTCTTCTTTTACAAATATACGACAGTCCATTGGAAATACTGCTTTATGAGCGACGTTTTGGGATTCGTAGCGTTCTGCCTATCGATTCTGGGTTGTTTTCTGAAATTCGGTTTTCGATTCAGCATCCCGTCAATGGGGGCCTAAATTTAAAATATATTTAAAAAAATTCATTTTTCAATTTTGAGGTTTTTGGTTTAAGAAACTAATTTACACCCTTACACTAAATTTGATAGCCATACAACAAATAGTTACGTTGAAATAAAATATTTTCAACACATTGTGAGCCAGTAAAAAAAGTACAGAAGTTCAATGTTTGAATGAATATTCCTTAGTTCCAACTCTGGCTAGAAATTTCATACGAAGGAATCTTTTGCTCGAAGATAAAAGTATTCCGATACCACAATTAAGATGTTTCTGAACTGAAATTTACTGGGGAGTCGGGCTATCTACTTCATTTTGTTTAAAATTCAAGTCCTCATTGAAAAGAAACTTTGTTGACAAAAATTGACACAGGACAGATAAGCATCTCATATATTGAGGTAATCACTCTTCCTGAAATATTTACATTTGAGTTAAAAGAAAAATAGGTAGCCCAAGGTACCACATCCCCCACTTTATATTCTAGCCATCAAAATGGTGCTTAATAGCTTCATTTGCATATCATAGATTTCTTAACAAAAGTGACACACCTTATGCAGGTAAGTAAAGTTGTCCTAGAGAGCTGAAAGTTTGCACAGTACACCTACATCTGACGTTAAATCTCCCCAGCAAATTTCCTTCCTATCACTTGAGTAGTTCAGAAGTTAGAATCTCTAGCCAATGTCCCCCCTTAAAGACCACAAGAACGGCAGACGGCCGCTCTTCTCGCGGTCGCACTCGAAAAACACTGACCACGAGAAGAACTGGAAGAGCCATAAGAATGAGCAGACGGTGGCCGTGTTGGCTATAGCCGAACCGAAAAAGCCGACTATAGCCTCAACCCAACTTGTTTACTGCAGAGGACGTGGTATCGAGGCTCCAGGGCAAAATCAAAACAACCAAAATGTCAGTGACTAGGCTCGCGGCGCTATTGCGGTGGCTGTAAACTGAGGGAATCACGCAAATTATGTCCAAAATATCGAGCAATAAACATCATGGCGTCCGAAATTTCGGTGAATGTTATACATTAACTCCATGGGGTGAGTGACGGTTCGGTGAGAACGTCGGAATAATGAGAGTCTGAAAAATCGGTCGGCGACTGTACTCCAATATGCACTGGGCTTGACTCTGGAGTAATTTAAACAACTTGAGCAATGAATGAGGTCAAGCGGTTAGTCCATTATATCACTACACAGCGGGTGCAGAAACATGCAGAGGCGTGCCAGCGCCCATTGCACAAACACGGGCTCCGAGCCGTTTCCGGTTGGGGGAACCATCACAGCATCATCGTTAAGAAGGGACTGACTGTTCTTCAGGTTTTTTTCGGAAATTTATATCGCTCGAGGTGCTTCATTAACTGCTCTTCGGTCTGAAAGATCGGCGGTTTGTCTCTTTCCTGCAGTACAAAATTTTCATTGGTGTATAAAAACTTTCGAATTGAATTACGTCTCTTGTTGGCCTTTTTCTTTCCTACCATTGACTGAGGAAGCTTCAAGAACCTCCATAGCATTGTTAGTTAGTGGGCAGATAATCAAACCAGTAATTGGTTAAAAATACGAAAAATATCTACGTAAAGTCAGTAATTTCAAACATTTAAAACTGTCCCCCACAAAAAACAAAACAAAAAAAAAACTGTCAGCGTGATGCAAAAAAATTTACTCGCTCGTTCAAACTTGGCTTTTAAAGTAACAGGATGCTTGCAGGTTCGACGAAGTTTAACTTCATTAAGATGAAGTTAAACTCAAGCAGGAATAAAATAATATCTATCCAAAGCGCCTACATTTCAAAGTTACAAGTGCTGATGAATAAAATTCTGATCGCTTTGACATCTTGCGTACGCACATATACCACACGTACAAGGCACATAGTAGACGTCAAATCAACCATCGAATTGTGATGAGCTAGGGCAAGACTAATCGTAAACAACGAGGACACTACACTAAAGATAAGAAGCTCACAACCATAGAAAAAGAGATGGTTACCCATTAGCTTAAAAGTTTAAAATTAAACAAAAATGAAGAATGCTCACAACACGACAGGCGAGTTTTCATTACAATGGCGTCCAATGTCTTGTCTGCTGAGACGTAACTTAACCTGCATAGGACTGGTAGCCCAGACCGCTTTGAGCGCATCCTACAGTACCGATTACACAAATGCATGTATAAAGAATGCTCGTTTACATCGAAGCTTGTGTCATCCTAGTCCGCAGTTGCTGCAGTAATGCCGAAAACTACTCTCGTCTAGTCTGGGTGCAACGCCGTGTTTGTGCAAGGTGCTGGCCATGCGAGGGAAAGATGCCAGTGCAGAAAAGAGGAAGCCAAGATAGTGAAGTTGCTTTACCGATGGAAGCTATAACCCGTATTGCTCACCAAGTGCTCACAGATGGGAACCTGGAATGGGATAAGTTAGAAGGGAATCGTCATGAGCACACACACACACATCGCCGGCGAGGATTAGGGGCACAGCGTAAGGCCGGTTCGCACGTTTGCGTTTTCTCGTAACCGCTCGACAAGCCGGCGCCGCCAACTGGGTAGCCGACTTCCGACTCGTGCATAAAAAAACCGAAGGTTTTGCGGTATTCGCGAGAATTTTGCTTGCCCAGAATTTTGTGCCGCCCACAGTGAAAGAACGATGCGTAAAAAATTGTCGATATATGTACTGAAGTCGGATGTGTTTTAGGGTGTGGATGGCGGCCAGCATGGCAGTGTGTTGAGTGACCGCAAGAGAATGCAGACGTGCGAGGCGGCCTTTACACGAGGACCAGCATTCGCCGCTTCTTTTAGTGGAATGGGGGCAGGGGGGCAAGAACTCAAACCAGCAAATGAAGGCAACTGCTAAAAAAGGCAGACTACGAGGTTCGTTATCAAGGCATGCAATGGTCTTCGACATACTGCTGGCAACCTGGAGACCCAGGCGAAAATCAGTCCACTTCCAGCTGGATTATGGAACTGGAAATGAGGCATTCCAGCTGGACCCGGCTGGAATCCAACTGGACCCAGCTGGAATCCAGCTGGAATGCCTCATTTCCAGTTCCATAATCCAGCTGGAAGTGGACTGATTTTCGCCTGGGGAGCTCTGCAATGGTATAAGGGTAAGTGTTAATTTAGTTAGTCGAATTAGTATGAAAATGTTAGCTTGGAGGCAGCGTGTAATAAATCGCGGCGAGATGGAAAAATTCACCGGTAGCCTGCAAAAATAAGAACACAAGGATATCAACACTGTTTTCAAGCAACTGTGAATAAGTATTCTTTGTGCTATATTACCGAACTGTGTTAAACTATACATTGGCTCAATATCTGCACATACACCTTTCAGAATTCAATAGAATATCAATTACCCGATGGCTCAAATAGTTACTTTGGTTCACAAAAATACAAAAATGAAAATATTCCTCAAACATAGGCTCAACACTTTGGTAAAGTAATAAGCTGCACATAAACACATTTCTATTGACATCAACCCAAATTAGATAATGAAAGTTATTTCGCATTGATCAGTCTGGCGACTTCTTTCCAGTGCGTATCCCTAAGCCTCCTATGTATTCTTAAAGTGGAACTAAAGTGGTTTTTAAGATTGTCTTCTTATGGCACAAACTCAATTTATGCAGCAAACCTCAAGATTAAGCCTGTTTCATAAAAAAAAACACCTTAATATCCACTTCAAAGCCTCATAGATGGTGGTCGCTGTCCTGAGTTTTGCGTCGAGATTTGTTCACGGACACAAAACTAGGGAAACTAGTCCCAACAGCTCTGCTGTAAAATAAATGATAATGACGGCGACAAAGCTGCAACCAGTCGGCCCACCTCGATGCGTCGCTCTACTTCGGCCTCTGTCCCCAAACGTGTGCCTATGGGTCCGCCCCGGCTGCCCCCTCCCCCTTACCGAGCACTTGCAGCTGGTGCAAGGGTCCTGCGCGAGGGGGACCCTCTCCCCGGTCTGGTACAGCCGCCCCATGTAGGTGCAGCCCCGGGGCGACCTCGTCCCGTTGGCCCCAGTGTCGCAGGGGTCGTCCTCGCAGTACGGGCAGCAGTCGCCGGCTCGCTGCACAGGGTTGCTGCACGCCACGTGGGGGCACTCCATGCTCCAGCAGTCCACCTCGCCAAACTGCGCAAGGTCGCGAGAACGCCGGGTAAGCACGCTGCCACACTGCACATCTTTCACACGCCAGTGAGATAGAGCTGACTTCGCTTTATCTAAGTGGTGAGATTCATGTGCGAGCCTGCCTTAAAGGCAGACGTACCCAACCTCGGTTTTCTGCAAGAAAGACAATCCTCTTAGCGCTCCCCTCTCCTAAGCTGCGAGGGGAGCCAAGTTGGGGCAAGGTACAAAGTGGAGAGAATATAGGAAAGGAGGAGGCACGCAGAAGTGGAAAGCGCGAAGTGTATGTCTGCCTTTAACTTTAAAGACCTACGAATCACTGGGGGGGCCAGGTTAAAATGGTGAGGGAATACCTAAAGGCACGTTCAACGAAAAAGGAAGTCATAGCACACTGTGTCAGCCCTTTTTTCTCTCTTAAAAGAGTAGATTTTATTGACACACAATGCTTTCGTGCTTCTTGTTTTGGATATTTACTATAGCATCACCAAGGCGAACGCTCCTATTCGACACTCCTACCGTAAAATGTTGAGCGTACACCCATGCTGCAATAAGTGACCCCTCGCTATTTTTTATATGTTTTAAATGCGAAGGATGTATCAAGTGCCTACCCCAGCAAACTTCTGAGCTAACTGAAGTGCTCCTCCGTGTTGGCTACTTCTAAAAGACGCCGGTGCAAAGCGGTGAAGCTTAGCTTTGTGCACTGTTCTCTCGTCTCACCTCATTCGCTTCGCTTCATCACTGGTCGCAAAAACGGTCAGTGTGACGTATTAGACACCAAAGTGTTCCCGACCCTAATGCAGGCTTTTTGTGCATTTGTCAGTAAAACCTACGAAAGTACCCCCCTCCCACCCCTAAATATGGTACCACAAAATGTCCCATTGGCCCACAGGTGGCTCAATTCGCTGGCGCAAGTAGCCCCGACGGCTTGCATGGTCCCCCAACTAGGAACGACTGCCGGATTGCCCGCGTCGCCTGGACTAGGGGCGCAAGCTGCAGCATCGTGGCAAACGCCGCCATCAGCAATCTCACCAGACACTCGCAAATCTGGCACTGGTAGATCCAGCGCTCTCCATTGGCGAACTTGATGGGCGCCTCCTGATGCTCGCAGAAGCTGGACCGGTCGCACTGCGGACAGCACTCCAGGTCCGTCCGTGGGTCGGAGCAGTCGCAGCGCGCCTTGCGGCAGTCCACGACGCCGTTTCGACAGGCGCACGTCGTGCAAGACCCCGGTCCGATGGGCCAGACCTCGCCGTTGATTCGCTCCATCCCCAGGTGATCACAGTCTGCGAGAGTCAATCCGAACAGCATTTGCAACGAAGACCCCGACGGAACGCACGCAACTGTTTAATGCGAAAGCATTAACTGTCCCATGGAATGCAGCCGGCATTGTCTGTAACCACGGAAGACAGCACCTAGCTCCCTCGGTTGAGTGTAACGGCACATAAATTCCCACTGGCTGAGCGAAATGGCACCTAAATGCGAGTCATCAAATCAAGCACGAATGCTCAGAAATAAAACGCAAAGAAAAGCATAGTAACGCAGATGCGTCGTCACGCACTCCCGGTGCCGCACCAAGCTTCGCACTCCCGCTGCCGCTTCACCCAGCAGCGCAGCATTTACCAGCGAGCCAGGGCTGTCTGCACGGTGCACCACCGCACTCCCTGCTGGCGCTGCGGCCGCTTTTGCTCCTTTCGACGCCTAGAATGCTTTCGCATTTACAACTCGTAAGAAGTTCTTAGCTGTCCTCTTGTTTGTTGAAATCTATATGCCACAACGAGTCTGTAAAAGTCAATTCAATTAACATTTACGACAAAGACCCTGATGTAATATACCTAACTCTCATTGAAACCCAAGTGCCCCAATAAGTCTGCGGGACTTGGTAGTTCAAATGACATTTATAATGAACACCCCGATGCAATCTAATACGCAACGCTTATTGAAATCTATATGGCACAAGTCTGAGAGTTTAACCGAACAACGTTTACAACGGACATCAACATCATATACCATACTTTTATGTCGAAACTGACATACCACAATAATGTTTCGGAGCCTGAGAAGACTAGAAAATTGTGCTCCCTTAAGGAGGATGTTCTCAAACTTCTTAATTATGAGGTTATCCCCTCTGATTGCTGTATAACAAAGAATCAATTCCCAGTCTTGAAAATGTGCAATAAAGCAGTGAGAGATCCTACAGACCTCCTAAACTATAACGCACATGCAAGTTTGATTCAGGAGACCGAACCACTGCCTCTGTGCCGACATCCAGAGAGTACCTTCAGATGAGACAACCTCACCCTTTAAACCTTGCTAGAAAAGATGATGAAGCGTGTATTTAAAATCAAATAGATAGGGTATTTATGGTTCTGTAAACATTAAAAGAGGTGTGATGGCAGAAACAGTTACTGCCACAAGCAACAAGCTTTCAAATTTTTTAGGGGCGAAGCTCCTCAGGGTCTAGCCTTGTCCGTCCGGCGTCAGTGCTCACATCGATCTTGCTAGTGCTCGTGCTCATGATCGTGCTCGTGAGCTCACGTGATAAAAAAAGAAATGTTTGCGCAGTCGACAGTTTTCGAACCTGTGCGGGGAGACCCTAATGGATTTCTAGTCCATCGCCTTAAAGGGGCGGTGCAACGATTTTATGATTAAAAGAATTTGCATCTCGTCATTTTTACGTTGTTTATCGTGTCCCAGAGGATAGAGAAAACACTTCTTTCATTAAAAATGTCGCGATTCCGCTGCATAATCGCCAAGCAAAAGTCGAGCTTTTTCCCCCACCTGCAGCCCCAAGTGGCAGCCGAAGGAACTACCACGGAAAGATTACGTGACCTCGCTCGGCTCTAAGCTGCAGCATAGCGCCCGCTAATGTACGCAGAGAGAGGGAGGGGAAGCGTCCTCCGAGATAGCACACGGGAAGCTACACGGCACTCCGAATGACGTCACTGGGAGTGCGACCAGGTGTGACCCTGAAGACTGGGAGTGAGTTGAGGGGTGCCCGAAATACCAATCTTTATCTTTTTTTTACGCAAAAACTAGGACACGCAGGCGAAATCAGTTTTCTGTTCTCTACTTCAGAAGTGTCAGGGGGCAACTTCCAGAAATCTTTGACCAAAGTCCGAAAATCGTTGCACCGCCCCTTTAAGCACTTGGCCACGACTGCGGGACAAGTAGGGGGCTCTGAGATGTGGTAGTAACTCAAGAGCTGGAGATGTCATGGATGAAACGTTGCATGTAGCCACTCAATGTCTATACAGGAGAGGGCGCTGCGGTCAAATGCTCAAATGCATATATAACCCCGCTCCATACCACGCATTCTCTTTTTGACATGGATGAAAACGAACGAAAGGCTCGGCACGCTGCGGCTCAGCGTCTATGCAGACAAGCACCACCAGAGCTTCGCCCCAATCAACATCATTCACCACAGGGAGATGCGGTCATTTTTTTTTTCCCTATTTGTAGTAGGAACACAGTTTTGAGCATTCAGTTCTGTTGGGTCTAGTTTTGAGGGGCAGTGGTTAAAACAACCGACGCCTCATGCACCACTGTTAGATCAGGGCAACAGCCTTTCTGTTGACACCTTGCTTCTTAAACTTTCAAACAAGGCACTGTGTGTGGGGTGACTAAGCTTTCCTATTGATCTGGGTACTTCCAGAAAGCTAGATTGCAACACAGTTTACAGGCTATCTGCGTTTAGTTCCGTTGCAAGTGAAACGTCACTAGAAAAATCAGCTATATGGTGGAATGTTCCCAATCTTAGCCACTACCATAGGTCATAGAATTTGGTGTTTGCCCATAGCCTAGCTAAGAAAATGAGGGAAAAAGCACTAACGTGCGCTTGTGCTATGTCACAGTGTACAAAGGTAGGTTAGTCAAACTTACTGAATGAACAGGTAGCGTTGTCTGCACAGATGCACTGAAAGCTGCCTTCCAGGTTGATGCAGGTCGCAGTGCTGTGGCAGGTATGAGTTCCCAGACTGCATTCGTCAATGTCTGCAACCAAAAAGTGAGCACAGCTGAAACTTGCCATTGTGTCACTCCTAACAACTCAACAAAAAGTATAGTGCGATTAACAATTTTGATTTTTGGCATAGGGTACCATTTGTTGTAAGCACGGAAAAATATACCTCCCTCCAAAATGTTCTTTTTTCCTCAAATTAGTTTTTTTATTCGTACCCTCTTGAACTCCCATCGTGATTTGTTTGGACTTCAATATCCTCATTCAATTGTCACTTGATTATTAATATATGCCATCTAACCACGAACTATAGGCAACAAAATGTTTTGGCGATACCTTCTTATGGTTCCTACCTCGTGATGACCAGGATTATCAGTTACAAAGAACAAGTTTCGATGATATGTCTAGAAATTAACACAGTGAAACCTTGGAGTCATCATTTCTTATACCAATACCATTAGAGTTGATAGTCTGACATTACGCCTATCTTCATCAATGAAAACAGAATTAATCCTGTTCAAGACGTCATAATGAGTGTTTGGCTAATCATGGAAGACTGATCAAAACAATGCTTTTGGTCATACAGTCTAAGCTCGTTATAACAGACCTTGATTTTGACCAAGATTTTGGTCTGTTTTAAAAGGAGTATTTTGAATGCAGCTATGAAGTTGAGTCAAAGGTGCATAGAGGAAGACCAACCGAACTTCACAGATCGGTATGTTAAACCCAAATGTCTGTTGTAACCAGGTCTGTTATAACGAGCTTAGACTGTACAAGTTGCCAATAAAAAAAGAACCAAACAAATAAAATGGGCTCCTGTCTACAGACAACCAACCGTCGAAGGCTTAGTGCAGTTTTCAATAGACATCAAGGTTTCCTTGTGAGACCAGCTTCTCTTATCCCGTTCGCATCTCGCATGTTTCTACTGCAGGAGCTGCGAGGCAAGGTGGCACAAGCTACTGCCCGGTACAGAAGGTACTGCCAATTCCATCCATCCACACACAACGTTTTCAAGCTTAACATACCTTCGCACGAAGCACCAAAGTCGTCGTCTTTATTGCTCTGGAAGCCCCTGTGGCACTCGCAGTAATACCAGCCGGGCATGTTGATGCAGTTGGAGTTTTTGTGACACTGGTGAACGTTCTCCGAGCATTCATTTACGTCTGCACAAAAAGTCAAGGATGCAGTTTAATAAACATGCGATACGAAGCAGTGTTTTGCCTTTGGCAGCCCTACCGATATACAGTAATCCCTCATTACAAGGTAGTCAACGGGACGGCAAAAAAATATGATATAAGCAATAATTTGATAAAAGCGATAGAGCTAAAAAGAAAACACTGCCAGCAGCTCTGAAGATGGTTGGGAACACTGCGCAACTCTGACCGTATATTTAATCAAACAAACCTTGGTTATGAACTTCTCAAGGCAGCTTTAACGAGTAAAAATATAATTAAATGGAGTTTGCCGATGATTTTATTCAGGCATCAGTTCTCCTCGAACTGCTCCAGGCATCACAAGAACGCTTTCACTGCCGCTGCACTCCACTTTGTTTCAAAGCAGCCATAGGATGTTTCGCGTCTCTGCAGTCGTCAACGTTTCCCGAGGTGCCTCTCCGACGTCACTTCGCGTTTACCCTGGTTGCAAGCAAGGTCTACGTTCGCAGCATCCGTGGCAGGGGCAACAACAAGAATGTCCACATTGACAAGCGCACACGAATCAAAGTTATCCTCGTGGCTTTGCCAACACGTTTTCACAAACTCCTGCAGAGATTGTAGCAGCTATGGAAACCGTGTGCTGGCTCGGCAAGCAAGCTCACAATAGATAATTCGATGTGCACAAAGCAGTTGGTAATCTCATCTTCGGGTTGCAGGCGCGCTTTCTCCTACATGAGAAACCTCTCGAACCCCTCCAATATGCTTTGCTTGTTCTGCAAAATGGTGGACAGTGTCAAACAGCCGATACCGGAATGTCTAATTTTTTGGCGATTATGGACTTGGGCCGGCCCTTTACTCAACCATGCAGATCTAAGCGGTTTTAGGCAAACACTCCCAATCTCCCATACGATGCAGATGTGCGCGTATTACGCCGCAGGCGCACATGCATAGGTGCAAGCGTCGGGGGCTCCCAAAGGGATGATCCCCTCTGGGCTCCATCGCTCCCTTTACAAGATTCAGACAATAGTCGTGCAGCGTCAGCCGCCGAGAGTAGCGTCGGAACGTTGACGTCGCTCCCCGCCCGCGTCCACTTTTCGGCAGCTGTGCCTTGCCAGCTCTGCGCTCTGCCCTCTGTCACCCGTTCACACTATTTTCCCAGTATGCTTTTGCCTTGGCGGAGAAGGGGGAGGGAACGCAAGGGTCTTTGTGCACCTCCACGTAGGCTTGCATGCTTTCGGCACAGCGGCTTTCGTAATGAGCGTGGTCGGCTGCCGACACGCTTGGAATAATGCAGTTAAAAATGCATGCATTTCGGTGATTTCTTCATAACGAGGGATTACTGCGTTTCTATAATGTTTGGTGATAGCGATCACCTGAGCATAAAAAATTGGTTCATGCATAACTCATTGCATAGTTAGTCAAGAGTTAGGGTGACCATATTCCTCAAGGTAGAAAACGGGGGGGGGGGGGGGGGGGGGTTTCATTGTCTTAGAGATTGAGATTAGAAGAAACAATTTAATGAAATAACTGTCTTTATTTCAAAACGTCATCATACCGCACTAAACTTTACTCTCTGGGTAAATATATCCCGCCTGCGTCTACGCCGCTTCTCGACGATAGTATGCGGCTGCACATTAAAAAACTATCAACCCACTTGGCCCCACCGTACAACCAGCAAGCCAAGCTAACCCAAGCCGCCGGAAAGGGAGTCGCATTCTATTTAGTTCAGCAATGTTTCGTCGACAAGATTAGTAGTTTTTTTTCTTCTTCAGTGTTCATTGTAAAAAATAAATGTAAATATTGCCAAATGCACAACAAAAATGTTCGAAAAAAATATAAAGTTAGCACGGTCTCTGGATTGAACCTGTGTCCGCTGCGAATGAAGCAGGCACCTTACCACTAATCTACGCTACCTTTTCCCTGTTTTTTATTGCAAATTGAAGCTTTTGGTAACCATTCGTTTTATACCAGACCCACCAAGTTTAGCGTCGCGCGTATAGCCATTGTGAGATATACTTGTAACGAGTAGGCATAGTTTCGGTTTGGTGCCAATTTCGAAACTATGCACTCCTGCGAAAACGGGAAACGATTCCTTATTGGGACAAAAAGACGGGACGGCAGAAGCGGACCTCAGAAACGGGACTGTCCCGGCCAAAACGGGACGTCTGGTCACCCTATCAAGAGTATAACAAACTATAAATACTATCAGAACAAAAAACAGCAACAAAAAAACAACGATGTGGGATATGCTGCCTTTGGTTGATTATCGAACCGACACCAACTTAATGCTCGCTGAAATATGTCTCAAGTCCCTTCCACGACCACTAGTCAACTTATTATTTACATATTCACTGCGTAATTTATCAGGGAACCATATGAAGCCTATTTTCATTTTGCAAAAAGCTTGCATATTTTACCTCATTACACAGATTAGGAATCCATATGGGAGATGTCATAGCACCCAGATGCCAGCTCATCACGAAAACTTTAGTAACAAATTTATCTCTTCAAAATTAGAAAGCACAACGTTAGCCCCTATTCCAAGCACAAACCACATGCACTCACTATTGCATGTCTAGTCACACCATGAGAGGCACTAGCAGTGCACGTCTTGAACAAGCTCAAGCTATTACCATTTCAGGGAAACAAAACGTGGAAGTCGGAGCCCTCAACAACTCACCAATTTCACAGCTGCTTCCCTTGTAACCGCGACGGCAATTGCAAACGTTGGGGGCAGCGCATTTTCCACCATTTAGGCAGGTCTGATTGCATATGGCTGCAAGGCAAGGAACTAACAATAAAACAAAGGCTGTACAAATGTCTCTTCACACCTGCACAACTGTCAACTTTTCTAGTCACTCCAGCTGATCATTAGAATGACTAGCTAGGACATGAAGCGTACAGGGACTGCAGCTAGAGCACGGGGCGAATGGCTGAAAAGACATAAGGGACATTGGAAGATGTCGAAGGGTCAGGTTATGGTTACAAAATAACAGCGTAATCTTGGCCTAAAATTTAAATACAAACAGTAGAATTGGGTAGACACTTTGTGAGCACCAAAACTAAAGAGACCGAAAAATGTTGACAATTTTTGCAAACAGCTGAATGCTTCCTCCTCTATGTACTGCTTCTCCTCAGTGCAAGAAGGAGAGTAGAAGAAAGCACTCAACACGGTGACATAAGAGGATGCGGAGCCAGAGCTTTGGCGGATGGGAAAGCATTAACAAGTCTAGCCAGCTTGATAACGGCACAAAATTCAAGTTGGGTACCATTTCGTAGAGAGATGCCCTACGCTTTCTAGCACATGAATAATTCAACCTGGCACTGTTGCCAGCCTCCCAGTTGTAGTTGTTATGTTCTCTCCCAGTTGTACAGTAGCTGTTCAATGGCACTGTTGCCAAACTCCCAGTTGTAGTTGCCAAACTCTGCAAGTTTTAAAAAAAAACAGCCCAAATTGCCCAATGCAATTGGTTCCTACACAACTCAACTGTTGAAATTCACAGCAGCGCCACGACCAGTAATTGACAAAATTTATAAAAGGACCTCAGGCAGTAGGCTACGTCAGTGGATTCAAGTTTAGGCTACCAATCCCCAAGCTTATAATATGACTGAGAGCATGTCAGAAATTTCGGCGGCACGCCAAAGACCCCCAGGCAGTCCGAACTAATCCTCAGCTTTTCATTAGGACATGCCAGATGCCTGTAGTTGTTTTAACACACCATCCCCAAGATCTTGCATTTACTTTCACAACAACACTCAAAATCAACTCCTTTCATTCATGCTAGAATTATATCCAGGACATCCATGTTAGTATTGGTGCTAAAACGTTTTGGTGGAGCCTTCTATAGTTCCTATCCGTGACGTTGCAACCAGAAATTGTCTCATCACGGCATCATGAGTTGTGATCCTGGCTACGTGTCATCGGTTGTGAACGGCAGGATTGATAACGGGTGTAAAAAGTTTGGGGAAAGTTTGGAGTTGTCGCATTCTTAAACCAACGCCGTCAAAGATGGGAGTCTGACATTGCTGTTATTTCCGTCAATGCAAGCAGAATTTATTCCACTAAAGACGTCTTAGTGAGCACATCGCTAACTGTGAAAAGCCGACCACAAAGACGCTTTTTATTGCGAAAGTCGTTGATACTCACGTTCACAGGTAATACCGTCGCCACGGTAGCCTGGGAGACATTCACACTTGTAGCTTCCCATTGTGTTGATGCACCTTGCATCCTTATGGCAGTTGTGTTCATTGCTAGCGCACTCGTCATGTTCTGCGAAGGCGTGGCAGAGTGATGCGTCATTCACAGGGTCAGCGGACAGGGGACGCAGATTTAAGTATAGTGCCTCCTACTATGTTATCTTAGAAAGGCTGCAGAAAATAGAGGGACGATATGACTGCCAATCCTTGTGGTGGTACTACTCTTGTTTTTGGATCCCTGCATCATAATTGCATAACATCCAATTGTATTTTCTACAGCCTCTGACAATATTAAGGTTAGGTATGCACAACATATTCCTCTTGTTTCTTCTACAGCATGTAGCAATATTAAGTTACGATGGTGTGAAGCTAGCCAAATGAATTATCTATCGCTACTATAGTCTGTTGCAGCTAGGGTCAAGCTCTTTCCACAAAGCCCTCCCATCTTCCAGTTTAGCAGAGCAAATGCTCGAGAGGTGGCGAGTGGAGAGGACACCACCAATCATGGCAAGCAAAAAGCTTTGTACGAGGGACTTGTCCTGCTAGCCTAAACTTGCAGCAGACTATAGTTTCCAAATCAATACTTTCACAAACTAGTGTGAACTTTGGTATAGAAGTATCACAACCCTGCTCCTGTTCACAATTGGGTTCGAAACTTTTATGCGTCACCTATCAAAAGAAAGGTATTTTCTTTTATATCTAGCCACAAGCTTACTTTTGGATCAAGGTGATGTGATGAAAAAAATGCATGCCTATGCTTAGGTAATTAAGCGAATTCTGACATATCACAAGTCCTTGTGACCTTTGCTCACACCCTCTGATCATATTGTCTGAGCACCATTGATCACCATTTTGCATGCTCCTTATGAATCTCCAACAAAACAAATATGCCTCGCTCTCTTGCATCGCACAATTCAGGCAAAAAGAACTCCACAACACAAGCAGCCAGCTGCGAAAACTCGTCGAGTGCACCGTCGACAATTGCAATTCTATATTCGAATCTTTCCGTGCTTCGTAGCTTGCAGTACAGCATATTCAAGTGACCCCTCATCTGGGTTCATCTCAAAATGAAAAATGTTGTTTTGAAGCTCTGGGGCTGAGGGGCGACCTGCGTATTGGTATACTCTCTTAACTGACTGGCAGCTGCGCTGGAACATTAAAAACTATGCAATGCGTCTTCCAATTCTGCCCACATTCATAAAACAACAGACTGCCAGTGTCTTCTATATATCCGAAAGGCACTCTAGATGCATAGCATTCATAGCTCCTCTACCACGCGATGGTATCGTGGGACTCCCAAGTGTAACGTCAAAACTAACCTTTAGGACTCGTCACCGTCCCAGCGCGGGCTTTGGAAACCAAATGTCGTAAACACTGTGAACCCGGGCAGAAACGCAAAAGTGCCAAGAGCTAGCCCTCCAAACGCTACAGATATTTATATAGCTGGTAGAAAATTGTTGTGCGAGCGCAAATTCCTGTTGAGTATCCCGGTAGTGCATACCCCTCCGGTCTCGATTTCCAGACGCTTCCCCCAGCCTATTTAAGCCTCTCTAAGAAACTCCCGGGTTTCCGCGGTCGGCGGGAGACCCGCGGCACATACCTTCGCAGTTGTAGGCATCGACCCTGCGAAATCCTGGCAGGCATTCGCAGGTGTAGGCACCAGGCGTATTCACGCAGCGAGTACTCTCTTGGCAGTGGTGGCCGTCAAATCCTCCCTCTTTCAGGCATTCGTCCACGTCTGCGAGGAACCGCGGAAGTGTAAGCGTAAACGCACTCCCACGGGAAATGGAACAAGACCTCTCACTAGTCGAGGAACGCTCCCTGGTATCGGTGTTGGCTTGCAAAGCAGTGCAGGAGCACACAGACTTTGTAAACAATGACGCAGATACTAGAGAGTGTTTGGCACAGCGTTACGCTTCAATCTATGACTTAGGCTCTGTAAAATAGTGCTTGACCAAAAGAATACTTTACTTAAGGCTGGGTACGGTCAAGAAAATGTGAGGGTTTAGGGAACCCCAGGTCCCTGGGTGTAAGGACTTGTGCATAGCGACCAAAATAATGTTGATATAACAAAACAGAATGTGGAAGCGTCCAGAGGCAAGAGACAAATAAACAAAGCTCGAAACAACAAAAAAAGATAAAGTCTACCTGAAAAAAAATTTTTTCCAAGCATATGTGCACACTTGGAAGAGCGCTACGATGTAATGTGGAGAAACGGATTACTGTTAGCAAAATAATCAAGCCCCTACATTCCAAACCATCATGGCTACTACTCCCAATGCCTCAGTTTAGGTCTCCTTAAAAAGAGTCATACTTTGACATGCCACAGTCAAGTGAGCTAGGGCATTATCCAGCAATATAGAAAAAGCTAGTTGTAGGACAAAGAGAACCTCAGCTCGGAGCACACGGAGTGAACACTAGTATCACCCCAGTGTGATCCAGGCTGAAGACTCCGGGAAAGTAGTAGCACTACGCAGATTCAATTTTTGATCTACACCATGAACCAATGTCCCCATACTATGGCAGACCGACCTTGCACTGTCTAACCTCTAATTTACGAGAGAACTCAATCTCCAAACTTGATCTTTTCCACTGTTAGGGGGTGCGTAGGCCAGTTGACGTACCCTCACAGGACCTGCCATTCCCCTTGTAGCCAGTGTTGCACTGGCAGGCATACTTGGTCTGGAGGTTGATGCAGGTTGCATTCACGTCACAATCGTGGCCCCGACCACAGTAGTCAACGCCTGCACGGGACAACGACAACACCCACGATTTAAAATCAAACCCAGAGAAGATATTAAGTGTTTGGAAGACGCAATGTTCAGACAAGGGACCAACACGCAACAGACGTGAATGTCTTTCAAACTAAAAAAAGCATTGACAATCGCTTTTCTTTCTTTCTTTTTAGACCTGCAGTTTAATATTTTAGTAGGGTTAAAAATATTTCCCCTTACATCCTCATATTTAGTCAATGGGAGAGGAGAAGTGACCATTTGTACAAACTCTGGAATACAAAATGATGTATTGTGTGTACAAAAGTGAGATTAGGGAAACTCTTAATGAGAGAAGTTCTCAGATTTACTTGGCTGACTTCAAAATAAAAAAGCATGGCTTTTTATACAAAGAGATCATTGAGTAAATTTCAGAACTGCAAGGTTGAAAGAGAATAATCTAGACAAATTTTAGACTTTCTAACAAGGCCATTTTGTTGGGAGGCATATATACTTACGAGTACGGCTATAGATTGTTAGATTATAGACAGCCGATGGTTTACGGCAACCAAAAACAAAGAATGTTGATGACGACGCGTAGAGAAGGACGTATAGACAGACACACCTGGACAAAACATGCAGCATTCCCCTGGCACGCTGAACCTTTGAGATTCGGGGCATGTCAAAGCTGGGCATGTCTTCTGGTCAATCCTACGGCATGTCATTTGTCCGTCCTGCAAGATTTGGAGAATCATGTGAACTTTACACTAAAGTTTGAAAAGTTCAAAAATTAGAAGCCAGTAAGAATGGCAGAAAACATGTAGACTATCCAGCATTCAGCCAGCCATAGTTATGCAAGAGCAGATACGTGAAGCCGAAAAACATCCAAACACAATCTGGTTTCAGTTCAAAAAAAGTATCTGTACTATGACTCAATCGAGAAACCGGTGATATCCGGAAGTCACGAAGTATTTGCGCTGGTCACGTAGGGCGGGTCTAAATACAGTCAGGTGTGATATTTATTTCATTAAAGGGCACCCCAATACTATTCGTTAAATCAATTACGAACATCAACACGAAACTTGACGCCGAATTTCGCAAGTACGCAGGGCTGGTCCTGTCGTGACGTCACATTGGGCGTGGTAACGTCCGAGTTGCGGGCGTAGACTTGTTTCCGGTTTTGATCAACATGGTTGGTGGTGCATACAAAAATAATCGTCGAAGAATTGAGCTCCCCTCAATACCGTAAATCTTGTCTTTCTTAGAACGAAATTATTTTACTGAGACAGTAGTCAAGATCTGTCGTGGCCCTCTTTGCACAATGTTACGTCGAAGCCTCAGCCGTTGCCAACGAAAACGCCGCATGTATTGCAGCTGTTTAAAATTGAATGACTTGTGCGGCGGAAGATTAAATATTCTGAAATTGTGAGGCTGCTAGTCCTAAAAGCAATGGTTATGTAATTTGGTCGTTTTCTGAAAGACAAAATTTTACCAGACAATTCCTCTAACCTCCGATTGTATTGTAGCATTTTTTGGTTCATTCGTGAACAAGCACACCATTTACTGCAGTTCACTTCCCCTCAAAGCCACCTGACAAAATTCTTCAGCAAGATCAACTTAGCTATCAAATCCATCCTACAAACCGTACAAAAAACCTCCCAAAAACCTGCCTTTATCCCATTTAGGCATTCCTATCCATACTGCACTCCCAAAGAACAAAGAAAGCAAAAGCCGGAGCCAGTATATATAAAATACTGAGTGACCTGCACATTGATCTCAAAGGTTGTTTGCACAAAGCAGGGGACTCGAAACCCTGGTCTGCGGGCCGGCTACGCAAACTAAGATACCAGACGGAATGAGCGAAACTGCATCGTAATGCAGGTCCCTCTTGTCGTATTATCAGTTGAACATTGCCGTCACTAGCATTACCATTCTTAGTCCCCTGCTTCGCGTCTATGCAACTATGGTAAAATTCCATTGCGTTCTGAAGTACAATACATCTGTGTTTTCTGTCACGACTATTGCATGCTGTCAGCATTAGTTTTATCACTCAGTCTTCAGCACTGCGCGAACGTGCCAGTTTCGCGCTTTGATTTATGCCTGGCGAGTTTTATTGGTCGCAAGTGCTGTGTAATGTCATATTAATTGAATATTAAATTTTAATATGAAGTATATGTAGTTATCCACCTCAGGTTTTTTTTTCTTTTAATACTTTAATATTCCTTTCAGTTTTTTGCTTAGTCTTTCTCTTTTATAGTTACTCTATTTTTCTGGCCCTGGAGACTACGACAGATCGCTAGTCCGTCCCTTTAGCCAAGAAGTTTAGAAACCCCTGGCATAAAGAATGCAAAAGTATATAAAAAAATAAAACAGCTTGCCAGCGTGCTTATGTGTAGGAACAACACCTAAAGATTCAAATGCGGCAGCATAGTAGAAATCTTTCAAACGAGTCTGGTAGTATGAATGCCATCTTTTCCCCGTCAAACTGCGAAGAAAAAAAAAAGAAAAGAAAGAAGAGTTTACTTACGCTGCAGTTGCACTGCACACACTTTTGTGTAACTTGCTCTCCGTGGTCATAGAGAACCTGTTTCAGAAAACAGCGCTCTGAAACACAAAACGGGTTTGTGGGGCATTACATCCCAAAGTTCCAACACCAAAAACAATCCCCCTGCACTGTGCCGCTGCTTTCACTTGAGGACAGACTACCGTATCCTATGGTGTATACTAAGCGCGAAATACAGATTGGTGCGATCGGCACGACATATAGACCGGAAAATGTGGTACTTGATTTGCTAATCAGACGCAAGAGCCACTTGCATAACAAATAGCTACAAGAAAGGTGCATGGCTGACAAACGATTTTGAACCGCAGCCGTTTGAAATCTGCATCGTTTGAAGATGGCCTGATCTAGACACATGCTCTCTCACTCCTTCGCTGCAGCACTCATGGGCAAATACTTAACGTCAGTGAAAGGTTTAAGAATTCAGTAGACACTCCACAGCTTTCCGCATTAACACGTGCAGTCAAAACCTAGCAGAGGGCAGCGAGCGAGTCACCGACTATAGCGCACATCACATCTGCACAGAGGTAATGTCTTGCACCAACCTGTGCCACAAGCTGGTAAAGGAACTGTGGCACATATTTAAACCCTGTGTAGTAAACTTTTCAAGCATCTGGTATTTAAGTCCTGAAGTGAACACATCAAAGCAAAGCCTCCTGCAATGCCTTCTCGAATCTCCAGTAATTTCGGACTCCAAAATCAACAACAAGTATGACGTAACTCTCTCAAGAGGGCAGCGGTGAATTCGACGAGATGAGTAGACCACTTGTTAAATTAGCCAGGCACCAAACGACACAAGCACGATTACGCGCCCCGCATGTGCTGGCATCTCAGCAGCAACTCTTCTAAAGCAAAAATCTAAAACAAATGACACATTGCCCATGCTTTGTTTTGGGTATTTACTTCTGATCTTTTGTACGGATAAGGTGAGCATGTGCAGGGCATGTGCCCATGCTCCCGGCACTCTCCTTGGCGCTTGGGTAATTTGCCAAAAGGTCAACTGGATTTCTCAGCAGTCTGCTATTTCACTGCAATGTAGCGATGCATGCAGGAAAAGGGATTTATTTTTTCGGGCAGACGTGCAGCGGCAGTTTTCTGAAAATGTTTCCATCTTTGCACGCAATTTTGTGGCTATGCACTTGAATACACTCTTTTTGTAAGGAGCCAACAGACCTTTCTCGAGTTCAGAGCCACCAGGGGTGGCTCAAAAAACAGTTTTACATACGACAAACTAAAGGCGGTCATGAAACTGTATTTCATCGGGCAACACCCCTTTCGCACGTCACGGCAGTTGAGAGTTGGTACCTCGATCACCTCATAAGTCTTTCTCCATTTGTTTGTTTTATTGGTGCAAACATAAGAACTGACGAGTACAAAGCTGCGACACAACTCTCTCGATTCAATTTCACCACCGAACGGCTTTAGAGCCAAACTTGTGCCAAAAGATTGATTGGACCATATTCCGAAAAATAAACGCTTATGCAGCTGTCGTATCCAATTTGTGCGTTGCATTGTACCAATGTCTCGAACGTACAGGCCTCGTATATAGGTATTCTCCACTGGGTAATACCTTGAACTTCTTCTTCATCTGCCTCAAGAAGGCTGCCAATAGTTTGGCACAGCTACTATAAAACTGGCGTGATAATAGTGATCAAAGTTCCCAGACTGAATTTCTTAAAGGGATGTATTGGTGCCCCTAAACAAGGAAGGGGAGTATACTCACTGAGGCAGCTGGGGCAGCATTCTCCTGGCTGGAGAACGGGGTGCTTGCAGGGTGGCGTGGGGCAGCTGATTGGCCGGCACTCCACTTTTCCTTGCTGCGAGAAAAAGGCGACCGGAAAAGAGATACAGAACGACCGCCACTCTGCGGAAGACACGGCAGCATCATTGACAAGCAAGTGGGTCTTGCAGCGAGGCTGAGACCTCGAATGTTTAGGCATGCATCTTTGTACGGTGTCTATGGAAGTTAACACGTCGGAGGGGAGCGAAGGGTACTCACAGCACAGGTGCAAATATCACAGTCCTGCTTCCAAATAGAGCCATCGGGCCGGACCGTACCGTTGACTCGGCAGCTCTTTTGGCATTCGCATTGTTCAACCGAAGCTATCCTCTCTTCAGCCTCAATTAACTGGAAATTTGGACACAAAATTGCAGTCAAACACTTTGGGGCCTACTAATTAAAATAAATTTGGAAAAAAAGAAACTTTCCATATTCACATTTTACAACACAGCTGGACTACTAAAACAAGTTCTGTTTTTCTTATAAACTAAATTAATAGCTTTATTACTGGTGCAAATGCAGGGGCATTAAAAGCTTACAACTTTTTTATTAGAGTAAAGCAAAGTAGTTGTAAACCCATGATAGTAATACACATCTTTGAGACACTGATATAGTAGAATAAATGACATGGTAAAGATTCCTTGGTGCATTAATTTTACAACAGCAGACACTGTTAGTGCAAACCCAACATTGGCGCTTTTTTGCAGATTTAGGCCCCTAATAGGGAGTATTCACTGGACAGCATATTTAAGGGCACTGTTTAAGACGCATGTCAGAACGAGCACACATTAACAGGCTGCTAAGACCGGCAACCCTGATGGTGTGGAATGCACATTGCGAAATAACTGTGGAAGCTCGCTACCAGCACTTGCTCAGCAGTCGTGCACACAGCTATGGCTACCAGGGAACACTCCCCATAAGGACTCACTGCCCCACTAGTAGTCCATGGCTGCAGTTCGACTAAAAAAAAAATAAAACGTAATTGCTCGTACGGACTAACAATGCCATGCTACGAGTAAAAAGAAAAGCACTAAACATTACACAGACCAGTAAAAAGAAAAAGCAGATTGAGCACTTGAACGTAAACATTTTTGACAGAAATCTTTCCGGTTAGGAAAATAATAGACTGACTGAAATTCAAAACTCCAACCAAAGTCCTTTTGCTTTGTCCTGGGCCTTTCACATCGAAGAAGCGCTTTATTTATTGTGCCTTAAATTTTGGGCCATTTTTTCATCACCCCATGCTCCAGACTGAATGGGGCCATTCAAAGTCCAGTTGTGTCAAGATCGTGCAGGAAAGGAAACTCAATCCAAACTTACCCTCTGCGTCAAATTTATAATGTATGTCTTTAGTTGATTCACAGACTGCTGGAGCTCCTGAAACTGGCCACAGGTCGGGCACTCTGCGCGGCAAAAAAAGAAAAACAGTTTCACTCGGCGATTTCGAGAATCCTATGCAGGTTCAATACTTTACACAGCAGTATAGTAGTAGCTACTCCAGTGTTACCTAATCCCAAATAAATTTTCTGCCACTCTCCATCTCGTTATAACTTGGAACATGGCAAAGTCCCGGTCTCACATTATCGTTACGGTTTCAAGTTACTATGAAACAGAGCAGTGCTCAATAAATTCTCGATTTGAGTGTCGAGGTAAAAACTGCCTACATTTTAGATTTTGTGGAAAAATGGATTAATACAGGATTTAAAAAGAAAATAAGCAGAGATTGCTTCTTTCGGTGCGAACTGGTGTCGTGTCAGCCTTTTAACTCGCCACTACTGCGAAAAACTCCCGGTAACTTCACGTTCAGAGAGAACAAAACCACCCTACAAAAGTTTTCTTTTTTCACGTTACAAAACAAATTACAAGTGGGGAAAGGCAGAACCCAAAATTTTTGGGCTATGCAATTGAGTGCACCATCCAGTTTAGTATTTAAACACAACTTTTCTAATGACACTTGAAATTCCTCTTCTGCTCTATGTAGACCCAGCACAGAATTGTGATAAATGATGACACTCAAAATTTTTGACTTGACTTATTAATTTAAGCGAAACAAAATTAACGGTGGTTTTATATTTAATCAATACTGAATTGTTATTATATATACTTTCACACGAGTAATTGAATACAAATGAAGCAACCCTATAGGGACAATCGAGCTTGCCCTCTTAGCAGCGATGAGATTACCCCAGAATTTGCGCCAAACTGTGCAAAAGTGCTCACCATGCTACACAGCCAGATTGTTACAGTAGGCTTGAGTAAATTTTGAGAACTTTCAACAATGTACTATTTGATCTCATCTCTATCAAACACTGACAGTACTCTGAAGTTTTGCAATATTTCTCATGTGCATCGTCTGTCCTGGCAGGTTAGTCGTCCGTCCTCGTGTTTTGTGGGCCTTCCCTTATTTCTAGCTAGCGATACTACAAAGCAAGCTCTCTATTTAAAGTTAGCGTCATTAAGTGTGCTAGTGAAGTGACCACCGCAGAATGGACATTGTAATTTTGTGTATCTTGCTTCACCGCAGCACACCCACGTGCTAAGGGGAAAGCATTCTTCCAGAAGAGAGGGACATGGCACACAGGTTTGAATAAAGCTGTAGCAATTATAATAATAGATTGAAATATTGAGACAATATCTTTTTGAGACTAGATTTAGCAAGGATAGCCGAGTATTGCAAAAAGGTTTGTATGGGCTGCTCTATATGTTTGCTTTTTATGTCAACTTTCCCGTTTAATTATTACCTTTATATGGTTTCATCTCTGTTTGAGGGCACAGTAAAACTAAATTTGCAGGAGCAGTGGACAGAATCTTGGGAACAACCTTAACCAGTCTGGCGGGATTGTTTTTAAGAAAGCACATTTATCAATCACATACCAATGTTTGTTGTTATGAAGTTCGACGTATAAAATATTTGTTCATAATCCGATACAAAAGTTGTGTTTTGATATCTGATTTAAGTATTCCAGTTTTATTTGATCCTTTAAAATTTGAACAGCACCAATTTGGGCACTCTAAATTTTATTTTAACATTATTTCAGTGGAACATACTATTTGCCTTATCCTCAAATCTGCACTGAAAATATTTATATATGCACTGCAGTTCATACTCTTCATCAATCAGCATCTTGTTGCTGTATTTGGTGCTTCTACGCACAACCAAGCAGCTTGTCCTTTGTTCGAGGGAATTGTGATAGTGATGCTAACAAAAGGTTTCCCAGAAGGGGGAAGGCAAACTAGAAGTGTTGTGCGAATATTTGCAATTTTGAATAATAGTTTCAAATGAGACGCTATGCAATATTCGCTTCGAGGTGAACCGCGATATTTGTACCTTTCGTATCGTTGATTGCGGCGGGTTAGCCCCGTTGAGTGCGCTTCTCACCGAGCACTTCTGCACTGCGGGAAAGCAATACCCGCGGAGCTCGCGGGCTTCGTGGGTATTGCTTTCCCGCAGTGCACGTGTTCTTGGTGAGAAGCGCACTCAACGGGGCTCACCCGCCGCGATTATGAAAGAATATGTGTTAGGTAGCGATGTCTTGACAGCTCGCGGCCATCACTCATACTCGATTTGTTTTGTAAAATACGGGATAGAAGAAATATTTTTGCACATAGCAAGCAGATTTATAAATCCCCTCTATAAGTATAGCTGCGAAAAATCTTTGGTTTACATGCCACGTGCACAGTTGATACTTATATTAAAATTAACTAAGCTTAGTGTTGGAGAAATGGAAGATTGGGACTCGGAAAAAATTTTCACGGAGTTCAGCTGAACTTTCGTTTAAGCATGGTGTACAGCAGTGAAAGACCCTCAGAAACTACTACTCGATTACTAGATTGGAAAATACCGCGTGGGTCAGAAGGATCGATGGCCGTTTGAAGGGACGACATGAATCGGGTTCTTAACGTATTGATTGTACTAGGAGTTAATACAGAGGTGCCTGAAGTTGGTGGACGCTTTCGCTAAAATTGTGCGAAAAAATGGCTCACCTGAGTAAATCAAGAAAAATCAAAAACTATGTTTTCCCTGCACCTTGCCTACACACTAAACATATTATGTTACTGTGGCGCTTATTTGGGCCAAATGAAGTGAAGAATACGTAGGCCAATTCTATTTTCTTTCCATTTCACAAAGTTTTCAATCGTAGTAAACGCCAGAAAGCCCATTTTCTGACGATTTTGAGATAAAAGACGTAGCAATATTTTTTCCATAGACAAAAACATTTTTTTATTTTCTTTCTTTTGACTCCAGAGGTTTTATATATTCATACTCTCAATGAGTACGCCAGCTTCGAGCAGCTCCGTAGTAAATCCAAGCGAATTAAGTTAATAAACCGATCTATGCGGTTCTTTCAAACCGCCATCTATCCATCTGATCCATGCGGTATTCGTCCAAAACCACCATTTGCTTCGAATTTGCTTTGAACCAGAAATCCACTATTCACACATGCGTACAAAGTAGGCATTGCATTTCAGTTTGAAAGGCCAATGCAGAAACCTTAATGCAATATTAGCAGTGGCATGAATTAAAATGAAGTGCGTGCTCATGATCCAAAAGTTCCCTTCGCTACCCCAAGATAGACTTAGCTGCTCCAGAAGGTGCTCCAAAATGACTGACCAATCGCATCACTGCATTAGGCAAATGAACTTGATTGGTGCTTTAACTGCCAACTATACATAGGCCAGTCAGTAACTGTGGAATATATATATTTTTTTTTTTGCAATGAGCTATGGCATTCTCATGAAATGCATTAACGAGTCCCATTAAAAAATAATTACCATGACTGAGCTTAAGACTTATTTTAAAATTCTGCTTCCCAGAGCATGCACTAGATTATCCCGTGAAATTGAGTAATCCAACAGAGTATTGGATTTTCTTCAACAGTATGTCAGAGAGGTAAAGTTAATGCTAAAACATACCTGTATCTAATTGAGGACACTGGAGAAGAAACCCGTGAGGTCGGAACACAACTTTGACATCTTGTAATACACCCTGGAACGAGATGCCACAGTTAGCGCAAGGGCGCTGCTCTAGAAAAAATTGAGGCAACAGTGCCATATTTTCAGGTGGTAGTGTCCCCAACATGAATAGATTCCGCCCAGTTTGAGGCAGTTCTCCGGGTATCGACACATGCAGCCAGACAAACATTGGCCTATATTAATACGGAATGCTACTTCCTATTTTTAGAAAACCACCCAGCGAGGCCAGCAGCATGGCCAAGCAATTCATGCACTCTCATACATATCCAATGCTTTCCTACAGTTTTTGCTCACACATCTACTGATGGTGCTTTGTATCGGAGGAAATGTGACCAGTCTACAACATATATGGTAGACGAAAAAAAGAGTGAATCCAGACTGTCACAACTTCTAACGATGCCTTCTATAGGCACTGGCATGTAACTAATACACCTCTCCCATTCATCAAAACACATGCTGAAGGAAACTTGTTTACATTACGGTTGAACAAGTAAAATAATCAGGTGTTAATTGCACACTTTGTGAACCTATTAACCACAAGCTAACATAGTAGTTCTGTGACAAGCAAGCCTTTTATTAGCTGTACCCCCTATAATCGAAAAGGAACTTTAATTTGGCTAAATCCACAAATGAGAACAGTTGATATCTGAAACATAATGTAGTAAGTACTACCGTAAAATACCGGGTGACTGCCCACTCAAAATTTAGAGATAATTGCGAAAAAGGGGGGATGGGCGCTTGTTTGGTCATCAATTTTACATATTAATGTACTGTGCATATTTTTTTAGATCTCAGAAATTTGGATATGGGTGCTTAATGTGGAATGGGCAGATGCGTGGTATTCTACGGTATATAGCTATGTAGGTGCCGAGTTTTAGGGTTGGATAGTATTGCTAATGACACAGAAATAGACAACTGGACCACTTCTGGGTTCAACTGACTGCAAGCTAAGAAAAAGATAAGCCATAGGTGACTAGCAATACGTCATGATGAGGACAGCCTAAATAAAGGCAGGCACACGCACAAGAAGAAAAATAAAAGACAACATATGGCAGACAAAGAATGACAGGCAGGTGGATTTGTACTTTGTACCACTGGTGAAGCCAGTTACTTTTTCTGGGGGAGAGAGGGGGAGGCATCTTGCATATTGTGGGGGCTGCATTGGCTGCATTTCGGATTTCGAGGGAGAGAGGGTGTTCCCGCCCCTACCCTCCCCCTCCTGGCTACGCCATTGGTCCATACTCTCACGACTCGTTCAAAACCTCCATTAATTTGGGTCCAACAACAAGAAGCGGCACGACTCACGTTAAAATAGTAGTGCTTCAGGTTCCTCTGTCCCAACCAGAGGGACAGGTTCCTGTTTGCAGTGTTCAGGTCTAGCTTCTTTATCACCCGAGAATAGATGCGGTTGCAGTCCACGAACACCTCGACACTGTCACCGCTGAGTGCCACCGCCAGCCTGTGCCACGTGTTGTCCGCCAACCGGTAGGGGAACGTCTCCACCAGCTCGCCGTTCGCGTGGCTGTAGTGCAGCCGGATCTCGTCCTTGCGGCCGCTACTTTGAAGTTCGAAAAACCTACGGGCAGGAGCGCAACAACTACAGTTTCTCAAAATGCCAAGAACTGCGAAAATAGAGCAAATGGTAAAGACTGGTTCCATGGCAATTCGATAGATGGCGCCAGTGTGCCAGTGCGTAAGTGCGTACCCTCCTTGCAAGTGATGACAAGCAGTGACAAGGAAACGCGAGAAACCCGAGCAAATGTAAGGACCAATCTTAATTTACACGCATATGTCATTTATTTCCTCTAACCAAAATGCCAATACGCTCCACGCATGATTTAAGGTTGAACACCTCGAATCGGGCGAGTTGGCCAGTTGGCGCCACTTAACATAGAGAGGTAACCGAATGCATACAAATGAATTTACGGGCTAATTGGGCGGCGGCTTGCGCCACCTAGCCAGTGAGGCATTCTTACACGTACCCACCCTGTTCTGAAAGGGTTTTGGTCCCTCTGACATACTGAGCCACCGACAGCTTACGAAACGAAGGGCGTGGAGAATCCCGTGTATCTTATCGCTTCGCAACCAGTAAGATTGCGGCACTGGCCGATAAGGACGTAGAGGAACGAATCCCGAACCAGAAAGCGCGAACATAACAAGTCATGCCGTCCCCTGACTTTGCGGAGCGCAAGTTCACCTGCTTCTTGCACAGGGGTTGCGGTGATATCCAGAACGCCAAACTCCTTTTAACTGATTGTAAAAAGTTGTAGGTAGATCTTAGGGCATCTAGCATTGAGGTATACCCACTATCCTTCTAATTATAGCTCGGCGTCGTTCTGACATCACCGCAACCCCTGTGCAAGGAGCAGATGACTCGCTCTCCGCATAGGGACAAGTCCCACTGGGCCAAATGTTCGGGGACTGGAGCAATTCGACGTACCTATTTGCCCCCTCCGAGAAGGAGAGGATGGCGCCAACGTTCCTGAGTTCTTGCTTTATAGTTGCTAGCATAGTGAATTCTGTGGAGGAGGAAAGGAGCCTGGCTGCCCTCTGGTAGACGTCCATAGGCAATTGCACTTTTCTGGATCGGCCTAAAATCAAGAAAAGAACGAAAAGAACAAAAAGACTTGCATGAAAAAAAAAAAATCTTACACTCTGCCACACAATTTGCTACACGCGGACATTTTCCCGCTAAATTTAGTGGAGAAATTTTCGCTCTGGATCTAGCGGTGCCGATTTATTGTTTTACTAAAC